TATTCTAAGTGTAAAAGGAGCTTGAGAGTGAGGGAGGGAGACAATAGATCAAAACCATGAAGCAGAACTGGCAGCAAAGCCTTTTAGAAGAGAAAACCGCAGTGGTGTTACCACCCCTGCAGAGGTGTACTGCTGTCCCCTCTTGGCACCACAGAGGAACCTGTGTCAGCACTGCAAAGCACAGCATCCCCGGTATAAAAATTATGTCTCCTATCTTTCCTCAAAGATCCTTGTGATTAAACCATGAAATTTTTTTGCTGAAAACGCAAACTTAAAAGCACCAACATTTTCAATTTTCCAAAGTGTCCTAGGTATAATTCATCTTCTGTATTTTTGTAATTAATGGCCTGGACGGCTTGACACATTTCAGGGTCCACACTAAGCAACCTGAAATGGCCAGAACTTTTCCCTAAAACTTAGCTGTCAAATTATTCTTCTAATAATGCTTTTTGGACAACAGTGCTGAAATGCCAAGACACTCGGACAGATAACCATTTGAAAATTTGTGTTCAAAACTTCAAACAGCATGAAATATCAGGGAGCCCACAATTAAGCAGAAGGGAAAGAGCAATGGAAAGAGGGAAGACAGGGATGGAGAAGCAGAAACAGTTTGGGACCTCCTTCCTCGTACTGGTGTATTAATAATGGCAAAAGGGTTCCCAGCAAACAACAGCAATTAGCCTAGATACACTTTTCTTCTTTCCTACAAGAACTGAAACTTCCTTCTCTGTGTATGTTTGGAATTCCACATGCTGGAATATAGGAAAAACAATCTACATTTCAAAAAAGTAGAAAGGATAATCCAAAATTGTGATATTAAACATCAAATTGTCTAACTATAGAGAGAGCTTTCTAAATTTCACCTCAAAGGCAAAAGAAAAGTTCTCTGGTAAATTGTCCTACTTTCTTGGGTTTCAACACCTTAGTCTAAAATCTTTCTGTCCAATATGGTAACTACTGACCACAAATAGCCACTGGGGTAGTGTACAAATCCTCACACGCTGTGTGTGCTAAACAAATTCTGGATTCAAAGACTTAGTATATAGAAACATAATGAAAAATATTAACATTTTTCATTTTGAAACAGATGATATTATTGTGAATAAGCTAGCCTAAAAACTTTATTAATATTAATTTCATCTGTTCCTTTTTATTTTTCATATCATGGCTACTAAAAAACTTAAGAGCATATATGTCACTTGTATTTGTGAGAGTCATATTTTTATTACAATGACATATAAATGAATCAGATTGGATTAAATTATATAAACCCCTTCTAGCCCTGGACTCTGATGCTAAGAAACTGTAAACACAAGCTAGTAAATTTTCTTTTTAGTATTGGGGATCAAACTCGGGTCCTTGCACTTGTGAGGCAGGTATGGCACCACTGAGCTAAATTCTCAGCTGGCTAGTAATTTTTTTTTGTTTTGTTTTTTGGCACTGGGGATGTAACTCAGGACCTTGCACTTGTGAGGCAGGTGGCAGAACCACTGAGTTAAATCCCCAGCCACCACTAGTAAGTTTAACAAGTTAACATAGAGAAACCCAGTTCTCATCAATACTTCATTCTTTCTCACTTTTTCTCCAAGGTTCCTCACTATCTTATCATTCTCTTTCTCAAGGCTCCCTAAGAGTCAAGAATAAGTGTGTCAATTTATTGATAAACTGCAAACACACACTCATAGGGACATTCTGGACAAATCATGTATCTGCCATTTGGTCATATTTCTTTTTGTTTCACACTGTATTTGCAGATAATAGGCACTAATGTCTCTTTTTGATGATCTGCAATGAATAATGTACTTTTTGTTTTAATATCTCTACAAAATGAGTTATAACACTAGAGAACTTCAGAAGTCTCATAATCCAGCGATTCCCCAAACATACTGCTACCTATGTATCACCTGGGAAACATGTGAAAAATAGTGATTTCTAGGCTTACTACCTGGAGATTCTGACTCTGTAGGTCTTGATGATGCCCAAGATCCTACACTCCAAAAAGCCCAGATCACTCTGAGGCTTAGACCAAGGGAACCACAGGATACCTGAACTTACTTCTGTAGCAGGTGTAAGATGAAATGTCCAAGTAGGAAGGCCAGGAACCTCAGACTTAGATGCAGGGCTCCCACTCTAGTCCACAACCATTACATAAGGGTAGTCTTCAAATACATACATTACTCACCCTTCAGGATCCCCTGCCATCAGAATATCTTCCTTTTTGGTTTTAACATCCAACTCTGGTTCTCCACTAAGCAGAAGCTTCAAGTTATAAATAACCAGCAAAGTACCTGATAGAAAAGTAGATGTGTGACTTGTCAGTATTTCAAATGCACTAAATGCTACATGTTGTGCTATCACCTCATGTATAGAATTGAGTCTGCTACAGATCAATTTTCCTTTTGTACCTCAGTAAATGATATGTTTGGATGTGTTCCAAAATATATGTCTCCCATCAGACTCCACTCTCTGCCAAAGAGTGATGAGCTTTTATAATATTTCTTATTACTATTCAACTCATTATAAATCTTTCACTCTGGCATTCTTTTCATAATTTGCATCATAAAAATTGTTAGGAGCCTGAGCCAAGTTTGTACTGTGAGCAAAGGTCTCACTGGTAGAACCGATATCAATGCCTAAAAGAAGAAAGATGAGATTTTTAAAATTGTAAAAAGGCAAAGTATTGCTTCTAGACTTCATGGCTGGTATTGACAAACTTTCTCTGCAAAAGGCCAGATAGGAAATATTTTAGGCTTTGAAGGCCATATGGTGTCTATCATAATTACTCACAACTCCACTCTGCCTCTGTAACATTAAAGCAGTCATAGAGAACATATACATGAATGAGTTTCACTGTGTTCCAATAAAATTTTATTTATAAAATCAGGAACGTCCTGTGGGCATTGTTTGCTGACCCCTGCTCTGAGGCATGGTTAATTAAACAGCACAAATTATTTACAAGGTTGATTATGATACAAAGGCAAATAATACTGCCTCAAAAATTTTTTAAAGTAATTATATTTTGTAGGGAAAACAGTAGAGTGGCTAAGAACATGGGCTGTGGAGACTAAATGTGTCTAAATCATGGATAACAGCTTACTAATACAGTGACCTCCGCTGTATTTTCAAATCTCTCTAAATCTGATTTTTCTAATTTATAAAACAGAATTTATGAAAGACCTGCCATACAGAATTTTTTGAGGATTAAATTTACTTCATTTTTAGAAAGCTTCTGGAAAACTATTCAGGAAATAAGAAACCCTTCATTAATATCTGCATATTTTGTAATTAGAAGTCAACTAAAAGATTACATTAAATGCCTTTAAAATATATTGTGTGCATGTTCATAAGATGAATACTGATTTATTTTTAGGGTTAAAATTGTAACTTTATTTAGATGTTATTTGTATATAGTCTACAGTAATGTACAGAAACACATAAAATTTTTTGACAGACTTTTTAATACTACTTTCCTTTTTTAATTATATAAGAACTTTATTGACAGTTATCACTTCCAATAATTTTGCCATATTTAAAAATATACCTATGGTTAAAGGTGTCCTTTACAAATTGAAGGATAAGATAACGTCAGAGAATCTCTTCACTAAAAAATGTAAAGAGAAGGATGTTGTTTAATACCACTTTCAATTTACAATAGCACTGGTAATGCTTCACGATGACAGATACTCTGCTTCATAAAACAAAAATTATTTGCTTCTCTGGTTGATACATTCTCACTAATCTTTAATGGATTAACATGTATCATGTATTTCAGCTGAAAATTATTCTAAAATTTTTATAACCTAGATATTTGGTGTTCATAAAAGATGTTGATGTAGCTAAAACTTTAGAAATGAAAACATTAATTCTCTAGTAGCAGCCTTAGTAAAAACATGAGCTACCAGATCTCACCTTCAGGGCTAACAATGCACAGTCATTTGCCTTTGGCTCGGCCCCACAGTCCTTGTGCAACTATGCATGAACTCAAAGATGAACACTAAGTTATTTGCCACTACTTTTCCTCTATGATAAAAAAAAGAACCGACCTCAAACATAATTTTTAAACAAAATGCCCCATTAGAGAAGAAATTTTGAAGATAAAGCAAGGCAAGTCTGCAACAGTTTAAAATTTCACTATTAGCATCACAGGAGTCAAAGTCCCAAGCAGCAGAGTACACACAGCATCCTCTAAAGCAGAGTTCTTCTGCTTATAGACATGAAAATGGTGGAAGTCTGGACAAACACCGGGACTGAAAATGTCAGTGGACACAACGCATTTGACATGGTAAGGCAAAAGTTGGCAGAGGGGGAAAGACCTGTTAATCTAGGAGGAAAAGGTAGGCAAAGCTTTTGCTAACTCTCTGCCTCATAATAATAAATTGAGATTTATTGTTGTATAAGTTGCTGACTCTCCTGTTGGCGGGTATCACACCGTCTCAGATGCTGCAACAAGCATCTCCTAACTCTGCTACACAAAGCAGAAGTGGTGAGTCGTGGCCATCGCATGCGTCATCCTCTTCTCACTTGGTTTCACCCAGCTCATGCGAACACAAGCCTTTGTCCTGTGTCAGAGATTTACGGTAACTCACACGTGGAGCCTCTTCAAACTCACTGATAAAATGAATGTCTGCCCTATGTGAGCTTATTAATACAAAAAAATACAAAAACATATAAAGAAGACACTAATGCAAATACTTCCATCAAAATCTCGAATCTTACCACATTTTCCACAGATCATGTCAAACTGATCCATCAGTTCAGCTTCGTTTTGAAATGGAGAGTATTTATAAATTATGGACAGTTCTGTTGAGAATTTTTGGGGATCATCTGTGACAGATTCTCTGGTTCTTGTTAACCACGAAGGCATTGGAACTACAACCTATTTTTAAAAAGTGAACTCATTATGAAATCCATAAAAACCATCATTGTTTTGTCCTATCCTAATCCATTCTACTTTTCATCTAAATTATAAAACACATGAAGTTAAAAGTTTATTTTCCTCCCACATTGCATTCTAATTTTGTAAAGAAAGATAGACAACAAACACGTATACTCAGGGTTTTATTTTAAAGTACTGTACTGTGGAATGTGAGGACAGATGGAGTCTGCTCCAGCTCCCTCTTAAAAGATGGGTGGAATGGCAGAGCAAACAACACTACCAGCACTTTAGAAGTTGAAAAGTAGATGACAGCATACCAAGAAATACAACCCAAGGTCCCCTGCCAGAAAAGAAAGAAGCCAGCGTGATTTACAATTCAGATTGATGGCAGTAGAGCCAGAAGAAGCAGCATCAAGATTGCTGTCTGGCTACAAAAATTCTGGATATTTATTCTCTGAAAGGAGTGGAACCTGTGTTTTTGGACCGGAAGACACACAGGCGCTGTCATTAGGGGACCTCACTGAGAGTAGAGGGACTAAGTGAAAATGTGTATATCAGATGCTGAGATTCCCAGGTGTCTTTTCTCATCTTCTTCCCAAAAGGAATGGCAGCTGTCTTCAGAGGACTGTAGGAAACCCGACCAGTCCAAAAGGAAAGGCCTGAAATATATAACATTAAATGTTCTCCAACAGAAAAGAGTGTTAAGATTTTAGATTTTTGGATCATTTAATTAGCATACTCATAGCTGCCAATCTCACACTCTTGAGACTTTCAATCAACATTTTATTGGACTAATAAAAGTGCTTTGGACTAACAATCATCTAAGAAAAACATCTGATATGATAAATAGAAGCCACACAAACAAACATAAATCAAACAATTCAGTGGAAATATAAATCATACAGGGAAGATGAAAATGTCAAGGAGAAAAATGTCACTGTTTAATAATCTTCAGAACTATTATGAGAAAATACTGCATGCGTGAAGCAAAAACTCGATAATCTTTGAAAAAGGATCACTGAGAGACTAAAAAGGCTTCTTGGAAGTTAAAATTATGAATGCAAGAAAAAAAGTTATGAGAAAATTGGAGGATAAATTGTGAAAAATCTAGAAAATAAGACAGAAAGACAAAAGACAGAAAATAGGAGAAAAAAAGTTAAGAAAATAAGAACACTTCCCAGAAGTCTAAGAACTAAAATCAAGAGGAGAAAAAAAAAAGACTATGGTTGGAAGAAAATTATAAATGTTACAGGAAACTAGACAGGAGTTACAGAATATGAATTTCCAGATTTAAAAACTTTCACATGTGCCCAGTGAAATTCCTGTAAATAGATCAGATAGATAAAAAATTGAAATCAGAACTGTTGGGAAAAGGATGGTTCTTTTGACCTTCAAAATGTAGACAGCGGGAGAGAAAGGAACAGGCCACATACAAAACAAGGGAATAAAATTAAAAGATTTTAAATTTCTCAATAATGCTACAAATTAGATAATGGAGCAACACCTTGAAAATCTTGAAGGAAAGTGAATTCTAGCCTATAAATAATAACAAGCCAATTTGTCACGAAGTGTTGAGATAAAATAAGAACGTTGTAATGAATGAGGAGTCTCAAAAAGACTTGCTTCCCATATTCTTGTTCAGAAAGCAGCTACAGAACATGTCACACCAAGAGGAGGATGCAAGCTGCAAAAGAAGAGCTCCGGGATCTGAGACCTGACAGATAACAACAGCAAGGGCAGATGCCAGGATAACCCCAAATGCCAGCCTTGGAAAACAGGAGTGCGAGCTGCAGCTCAGGCAGAGGATCCAGAGCAGAGCCGTTGGGAAGATGGGGCCAATGGAAAGGAAAGCAGTTGCAAACAGATAAACTAAGCAGTATGAACACTGAAAACCAAGCAAACATTCAGTAACAGTGATAAAGGCACAAAAAGCTAGGCAGTCTATTATTAATTCCGGAAGAAATAAAAAGTTATGCTTAAAAAAAGTTCATGACATGGCATAATGTGAATGGTGTTTACACAGTCTTAAAATGTATCTTCTGAACACTGACCTCACCAAAATTATGAAAGCATTATCTTGGGGTAAAGGGACTGGAAGGCTGTGTATGTGTGACAGAAGTGGGGAAAAGAAGGTAAACAAATGCCTTGGGCACTCCTGACTCCCCAATCTTCCATCTGTATCACTGCTTTTGACAATTTAGTAATAATAGCCCCACTTATGTATTTATTTATTGTTGATCCAATTCGTATGTTTCTGCCTTGTTCTGTGACAAGGCTGAAAACTTTTTGATAGCCCCATAGTCTTCAGCTGGTTTTCTACCTTCCACAGTGGTTATGCAGTGCTGAGCAGAACTCAGGGCCTCAACCTGTTGTGTTGCGTTGAATTGTAACTAACTTTCACAACAGCAAAAGGCGGGCACTGGAAATCAATGAAATGTCGCTAGGTCAGCAAGTGGAGTTGACATTTTCACTAAAATTACAGTATTACACCTACTTTCAAATAAATTTATTTTTATTTTTATTTCTAAATCTTTGACTCCAAAATTCTATTCACTTTAAAAATTATAATACATTTATGGTACAAGTTGTGGAAAGATTTTGCAGACTTCTTTCACAAACCTTACTGGGCCTCATGGAGACTCTTTTTCAGGAAAATCTGGGTACACAAAGAATAAAAATAATGTCCTCAAGCAAGTCCTCCAAGGGCTGGGGGTGGCACTTGCTTAGCATTCCTGAAGCCCTTGGTTTGATCCCTACTACTTGACAAAAAGACAGACAGATAATGCAAGCCTCTGATTAATCCCAGAATGAACGGATACTTCCTCTCCATGTCTCAAACATACTCCTAAATTTATAAATCCTAAGCAAGAAAGAAGTTATAAAAGACTTTAACTCCTAAGAGGATAAAGGAAGTAACACTTTTGCCAGGGAAATGGAAGGATTCCCTCAAATCTTACCTCACTCAGACCTTCTTCTTCACAGAATGACCGAGAAAAAAGCACACAGGTCATTGTTTCTTCCTTCTTCGTAAAAAGAATAAAGTCTTTTCCAATTCTCATGGACCCACTATATAACAATGAAGAACATAATGATTTACACTTCAGATGTTAAAAATGAAACAGGTGGGCATGACTCTGTGTACTGTCATGGATCTTTCTCAACACCCTATCTTATGGGCCTATCACCAAGAGGTCACAGTCTTTATTTCTCAAACTGGCACTGATGAAGTGGAATGGACCCAGTTTCATGCTCCTGTTTGAGTCACAGCTGCTGGGATGAGGTACCATCCACGGCTCAAAAGAACAATCACTGGACCCTTGTGGAGACACACAGAGCAGCCTCGGGCCTCAACTCTTACTGAGACAAACTAAAAAAAGCTATAGTCACAGCACTTAGGCTGCAATGTGCTTTGGAAAGCAACAGAACATAGAGATGCAATGAAGCTTCAGTAATACCCAGCAGCACCACTACAGGAATGGTTGCAGGAAGACTCATCTAACCATACATGAGAATTCATTTTTACATAAATCAAGTCAATTATGGGTATGGAGAGTCTGAAACAAGGCAGAACCTCTCCACAAGTTCACAGTGATTTTAAGCTTTATGTGTTTGCATCATTCTGTATAACACTGCCTTCCACACTGTCTCCAGTATCAATAATGCATGTGTTAAGGGGGGGAAATGCTCACCTTTTAAGACCATTGCCATACTGTCCAATGAACTTCGAAGTGGGTAACTGCTTCTTGGGTGTTCCAAAGTGAATGATGTCTGACGCTTCCTCTGTAATCGACAATGATGTTCAAGGTGGTTAGGAAGAGTCTTTGGGATCATGATATATCTTAGGGCATTTGAACAAGCCCATACCTCCTGGGCCAGGCCAGAGACAAGGACTCATATGAGGATCCACAATTTCTAGGAAGGATCTTAATGGTGGGACACTGATGGAGGTGGGTCAGACTTCATGCATAACTCTGGATAGTGCTGAGCCTTAATTTCCTTGTCTAAAAGGAAGTGCTAATACATCATGAAGTTGCTGATAAAGAGAAATGAAACAAATAAAATGAATGGTATATTTGTGAAGCCCTGGACAAAACCCTTGGCACTTGATAAATGTGAACAGATTATAAGCATTATAATGAGTTGTACCATGAGTAATTTTATCATGAATTTGACCCTTATCTAGGAACATGTAAGACTAAGAAGGACAGAACAGCTTTTGCTCTGACATTACCAGGGGGAAATGACTTAATTTGTCCAGCTTTCAGATTCATTCTCCTGATCTTGCCAGGGTGTTTCAGAATTCTAAACAAGAATCCTCTGAATTTTAGAATATACTGACCCCCAGAACTAAGAATTTTCTTTTTTTATTTTTTTAGTCTGCCTCAATAAATGCTTTAGATTTGTTCTGAACCCCCCCAGTATCATCCAAGGTACAGACATACTCTATGTAGTTCAGTGGCACTTGGAATGAGGTGTGTAAAGGCCACCTAGCACCCTGTTAGTTTTATCAAACTGGACACTGGATCACACGTTCTTACAAAGGTTAAGACTTGAGAATAGCCAGGATGATAATATTAGCCACCATGTACTGACTGCTCGGTATATACTGAGAACTTCTGTATGTTTTACACATTACATGTTCTGTACTGTCTACTTAAATTAAGGAAGATATGATTAACTGTTACATTGTTGTAGGAGGAACAGAATGAAAGACAGACAAATAAGATCTGAGAAGATCAAGTATAAGAAGCAAAGCAAGGATAAGGTGATAATGAATCAACAGGAGTGTGGCCTGCAATTGGAATCATCAGGAAAGGCCACTTTGAGAAGGCCAACAGGTGAGATGAGATTTGGATAATCAGGGTTCAACCAGGTTTGGCTCCAATGTTAGAAGCAGGGAGAGAGTAGTGTGAGAAAAGGCTAAAACAAAAATGGGTAAGAGGAACAAATAACCCCAAGTAACCCAAGATTTTGGAAGTGAAGCTCAAGAGCACAAATTTATTCTTTATCAGTGGAAAATGAATGAGGGTTCCCAACAGGATAATTATATGGTAGCACTGACATTTTAAAAAAATGTCTCTTGACCGGGAGCTGCCATCATTCCAGCACCAGGAGGGCTGCCTGGGCCCTGATCCACCGCGGGAAGGAGCCACACCTTCCCCCACCGGGAGCGGCCATTGTTCCAGCACCAGGAAGGTAGCCATGTGGGCACCCCTGAACCCCCATAACTCCCATAAACACCCCCCCGTGCACCCTCAGGCTGCTGATTGAGCCAGTCTTTGGACCCACTCTGCAGAGGCAGAGGGGGTCATAGAAGGTATTTTTCAGTTCCCAATTTGTTCCAGCACCAGGAAGGTAGCCATGTGGGCACCCCTGAACCCCCATAACTCCCATAAACACCCCCCCGTGCACCCTCAGGCTGCTGATTGAGCCAGTCTTTGGACCCACTCTGCAGAGGCAGAGGTGGTCATAGAAGGTATTTTTCTGAGTTCCCAATGTTGAATATCTTTAAAGAAAGGCCTGGGAAACCTGTAGTAGAACGGTGTGGAGTTCAACTGTTCAGAAGGTTGGGGAACTCAGTCTGGGCTTTGCAGCCCGAGGTCAGTCTGCGTCATGGAGTTCACCCATCAGCTAACTGAGATCAAGGGTCTTGAGTCCTAGCTCTGTCTCAGCCCCAATCCTAAATGGTAAATATACTATATTGAAAAGTTCGTTCACTGTAGACATGTTCTGGACTGCTTCTTCATTTCAATTTAATTCAAAGGGTTTAAGGGTGATAGACTAGTGACTACCACAGGTGGTCAGTGTCCAAAATGTGCTTGATCATATTGTGTTGCTGATTGTATCAGTTGGGATAAAGGATTGTCGTGGATTTGATGAGCGGTTTTCTCTGATGTTATGAAGATGAGAATGTCTGTGGATCTTTACAGACCCAGAATCTAGGGCACAACTAAATCAGGAAGATTTGGGTGATAACCCAGAGATTAAACCAAGGACAGCCTGACAACAAAAATAAAAATGAGAAAACACTTAAGCAGGACACAAAGACAGACTTCCAGTTCACCAATGCCAAACAGTAGGGCAAATGAGGATGAAAAGGCTGATAGTGAACCACCAGGACACCCTGAACTCAAAGCACAGGAAGTAACAAAACAGATCAATCAGGCTCTAGAAAAATTCAAAACAGAAATAATTTCCCAGATAATCATAGAGATGGTGAGTAAAATGAAAGTTGTGATTCAAGACTCTAGAACAGAAACTGACAAAAAAATAGATGAGCTCAGGACCACGATAGAAGCCATGAAGGCCCAGCATAAGAAAGAAATGGAAACAATAAATGCCCAACATAGGAAAGAAATGGAATCCATAAAACAGATTCAAACAGATATCCAGGAGATTAAACACTCCACTGAAAGTGTACGCAACAGAATAAAAGAATGCGAAGATAGACTCTCAGATACAGAAGATAAGATTGCAGTCAGTGACCAATGAAAAGAAAGCTCTCTTAAAAACAGTAGGGGGAGATCCAACACGGGAAGGAGAACCACGCCTGCTCCCGACCCAGCGACCATCGCTCCAGCACCGGGAAGGTAGGCCGGCCCGATCCACCGCGGGAAGGAGAACCACACCTGCTCCCGACCCAGCGGCCATCGCTCAAGCGCCAGGAAGGTAGGCCGGCCTGATCCACCGCGGGAAGGAGAACCACGCCTGCTCCCGACCCAGCAGCCATCGCTCAAGCGCCGGGAAGGTAGCCGCGTGGGCACCCCTGAACCCCCATAATCCCCCCACACACACTCTCAGACCTCCTGACTGTGCAAGTCTTTGGACCCACTCTGCAAAGACAGAGGTGGTCATCAAGGGTAGTTTTCTGAGTTCCCAACTTTGAACATCTTTAAAGAAAGGGCGTGGGAAACCTGTAATAGAACGTTGCAGAGTCCAACCATTCAGCAGGATAGGGAACTCAATCTGGGCCTTGCAGCCCGAGGTCAGTCAGCATCATGGGGTTCAGCAATCAGCTAACTAAGATCAGGGGTCTTGCATCCTCGCTCTGTCTGAGCCATTAAACAGTAAATATACTATATTGAAAAGTTTGTTCACTGCAGATATGTTCTGGACTACTTCTTGATTTCAATTTAATTCAAATGATTTAAGGGTGATAGACTAGTGACTACCACAGGTGGTCAGTGTCCAAGTTGTGCTTGATCTTAATGTGTTGCTGATTGTATCAGTTGGGGTAAAGCATTGCCATTGATTTGATGAGCTGTTTACTCTGATGTTATGAAGATGAGAATGTCTGTGGGTCGTTAGAGACACAGAAGCTAGGGTGCAACTATATCAGGAAGATTTGGGTGATAATCCAGAGATTAAACCAAGGACAGTCTGACAACAAAAATTAAAATGAGAAAAGACTTAAGCAAGACACAAGGACAGACTTCCAGTTCACCAATGGCAAACAGTAGGGCAAATGAGGATGAAAAGGCCGATAGTGAACCACCAGGACACCCTGAACTCAAAGCACAGGAAGTAACAAACAGATCAATCAGGCTCTAGAAAAATTCAAAACAGAAATAATTTCCCAGATAACCATGGAGATAGTGAGCAAAATGGAAGTCGTGATTCGAGACTCTAGAGCAGAAACTGACAAAAAAATAGATGAGCTCAGGACCACGATAGAAGCCATGAAGACCCAGCATAAGAAAGAAATGGAAAAAATAAACGCCCAACATAGGAAAGGAATGGAATCCATAAAACAGATTCAAACAGAGATCCAGGAGATTAAACACTCTGTTGAAAGTGTACACAACAGAATAAAAGAATGCGAAGATAGGCTCTCAGATATAGAAGATAAGATTGCAGTCAGTGACCATGAAAAGAGAGGTCTCTTAAAAACAGTAAGAGATCATGAGAAATCGATCCAACAACTCCTAGATGATGCAAAGAAGAATAACATAAGACTGATAGGAATACATGAAGTAGCAGGAGAAAATACAAATGACTTAAAAAAGCTGTTCACAGAATTAATGACAGAAAACTTCCCAAACAGAGGGGAAGAATTTGACATTCAGATAACTGAGGCATATAGGACCCCAACTAGCTACAATCAAAAAAAATCTACACCTAGACATATAATAATCAAGATCCCAGAAACCCAACAGAAGAACAAAATACTACAAGCAGTAAGAGAAAAGAAACAAATCACATACAAAGGAAAGCCCATCAGAATCACAGCAGACTTTTCAACACAAACCCTTGGGGCAAGGAGAGCCTGGAATGAGATATTTCAAGTACTAAAAGAGAACAACCTCCAACCTAGACTCATGTATCCAGCAAAACTCTCTTTCAAAATGGAGGGGGAAATAAGATACTTCCAAGACAAAGAACACCTGAGAAACTACATGAATACCAAACCAGCACTACAAGCAATTCTAAACAAGATCCTAGAAAAAGACAATGAAGGCAACAACACCATGGGGCCCAAAAGAGCAAATCAAATAGCCAAGGCAAGAAATTAAAAGGAGAAGGTGAAAAAGTAAAAAGAGTCAACAAAAGGCCAATAACATGTCAATAATAAGTCAGTACATATCAGTTATAACCAGTAATGTCAATGGCCTCAACTCACCAATCAAGAGAAATAGACTGGAAAAATGGAATAAGAAGCAAAATCCAATAATATGTTGTATACAAGAAACACACCTATTGCAAAAAGAAGCCCATAGCCTGAAAGTGAAAAGAGAGAAAACAATTCTCCATATGACAGGAGCCCAAAAAAAAAAAAGG